CCCCATGTAAGGGGGCAGGCACAAGCGCAAATCCCCAATTCTGAAGTGGTACCACAATAGTCGCCTCTTACGATCTAGTTTCCCATTCCACGACCTGCAGGGATGAATGCACAAAAGAAATCATGACGTCACCGTTAATTGAACATCCACGTCAGCACTACCTGTATCAGACAGAACAGAAGTTCAACAACCTGGGCAGATACATACGTGCACCCTATCTTCCTATAATCAAGCAAGTCCTTTTTGATGGGTCTAGTTGTTGTGTGTATTAGGACTTGCTTTTGCAGTGTGTATCGGACTGTAGCAAGTCTACAACTAGTGACATATCTTTGTCTCTCACCGAAATTTCACATCAGATTCGTAAAATACAGATTCCCCTGTGATTTGCAAAACCTACAAGATCAGGTGGGAAATTTTGACCGATTGAATACTATGGACTCTAGTGACGGAATCTAGCAGTTGTCGGTGATAATAAGGGCCGTCTTGGATCAATGCAAACGCATTTATCGATATCTGTGAGGTGTGTGTTGTGTCATAGCAGATTTTTGTTGTCACCACCTCAAAACTTAGAGATAGCACACTGTGTTGGGGAATTCAACGTTTTTATATGGTGTGCGCTGGTCCCACACCAGACATCTATCTGTCAAAATGTCTCCTGTCAGGGCCAGGGGAACTCATCTGATGGCTAAGCTTTGATCTGTTTCCGAATGGTCTGGCAGTACGTTGTTTTGATTTAGATTACCTACCAAGTTGTTTACGGGCTCTAAGCAGGGGCCATTCGGAAACAGACACACTAAAGAATGATTTGTGTTAATGCTCTCCGATATCATTTTCCCCACTCAGACAAATGTAACTGTGTACCAACAGGCCACGTATTTACAACCGACACAAACACGTGGCGGAACACGACTACAGTAATGTGTGGGAAGACTGATTAATAACCCCCGTACCACTTACCAAAAACTGTAACCATGTATTGGAAACTGTTCTTCCGGCATGACTATAGCTTTAATAAATCAATTTTGGAACGAAAACCATACCTTACGGGACTTTTATGAGAGAAAATATAGATGAAATAAACAAAATATGTTAGATAAACAGCTAGTGTTTTGCGTGAAAAAAATTGGTGGGGCTAGAGCGGGATTTGAACCCTGAACTTCAGGTTGATATACTGTCGCTCTAACCGGTTGAGCTTAGTGGTTAACAAATTAAAGGTGGCCTGGCCAAACTGTGCTACAGATATGTCCAAACCATAGGTGCTCCGGGTCTGGAATATATGTGATATAGTATCGCACCCCCTTATAATATGATTTATGTGCGATATCTAGTGTGGCGCGACAATATATCACATATATTCCAGAACTCGAGCACCTATGGTCCAGACGGAAGTTAAAGCGATGTCACTGTATACACGGAGAACAATGGTACAATGGGACAGAGGTCCCTAATTAAAGACAAATGGTAATTTCCCGGATATATTATTCCTGGCGTGGTCGATGTAAGATATTATCAGATTTGTACAGTTTGATCTGTTTCTGTATTGTGTGATAGCTTAAGGAAATGATGTCGTAATCAAACAGTGTTCTAACCATTCCAGCTTTACCGAATCTTTGATTATGTAATAAGACAATCCTTTCTCATATGTTTGGAGTTAATTAGTCGTTTTCATTTGAGAACCCCGCTGTTGCAATCTGATTTTCAAGTTCAATCACAACTTTGCTTGTATACTGGTGTTATTTTTTCTTGCTAACTCCACATCACTAGGTTACTATCTTAAATGTCCTCCAATCTCTAGGTGAAGATCGGAGTGTTCAGGGAAGGAATGAGTGTCCAGGGCGGTTTTCGCTCGTACCGTACCAGTGCAAAATCACAATGACCTGAGAATTGATCAAACTATATTATCATCATTGGGGTGGCATTTTTACCGAAAATTGATCTAAACCCCCAAAACGTGTAAAATTACTCTAAACACCTTAGTTAAGATCCGAATATAGCTGTAACAAATGCAATGTGCAAATAATGCAATGCAAGGGAAATAACTCGTACAAAAACTTGATTGCCAGAGGCACCGCGACGAAGTTCACGAGTTAATATGTGACATTACTAAATTGAAAAATTGTAAAATTGTTTATTGCGACATAATGCACTTACCGTCACCGTCACGAGCTGACATAAGTGTAATCAAAGTGAATACAAAGGTGGTATAATCCATTGTGTTCATTGACTTCAAACATTTATTAGATCAGATATGGCATCACAACGAATCGCAAAAGAATGTTTTCCACCAGGTGTAGATTATTGGATCTTTTCAATTATAAGAATCATTTTAGAGTCACCAAATAATCATTAAAGTACTCAAATACTAAAATTATATACATACAAATATACTGATATGATAAATACAAATTAAATCTAAATATGAATTGTCTATGTCTATTGCGCAACTATTCATGTGATATGGGAGGGAACACGGAATTCATTAATTAATTGAATTGTTTGACCAAATCTGTCTAAAAAATGTGTTTTCATTAAAAAAAATCATAATGATAAACATTCGGTTAACGCAAGGAGAAACATTCATACTGTCAATAGCGAGGTATATGTTACCGATAGTGGTTTTGAATAACAATTCTGGGTTTCTGGGTTCGAATCGAATTTCCATGTCCGGGTACGTTACTCTTATTTACAGTGGCCCATACCTTCGACAGGTTTTTTTTTACTTATCTTCACCAAACTTTCATTTACAAGGAATGTCGTCTACCAAAGATGAACATATCACACATGTAATGAACCTTTAACATTTTATAATGAATGCAGTATGACTGCATCATACAGCTGTTTAGTCCTGCTATAACTCGTCACTAGATCCCCTTAAATTAGGAATTTCACACGACCCCCTTGTTTACAGAGTTATGACCCTTTGTAATTCTCCGAATCACATATATAGTTCCCCCTATTGCTACAGGTAATTATATAAGTGTTCAAGTGAAAGTGGTTACTGGCGTCTCTTGTACCGTCATCGGCAGCCTTGTAGTTTAATATTACAAATCTAATTTACGAGTTTCTATGTAAATTTTGAAGAGTTCCGATGACGGACTATTGTGCTTTGTTTACCCTGGATACTCGTGCTCATTTTTTGCTATCGAAAAATAGAAAACGATGTACTAATATCAGAAAATTATTAAACATAAAAATGTACCAATTAGCCTGTTTTTGAAACTTGGAAATGAGTTTCTAACTTTAGAAAACGAATTAAAATATTTATAAATGTATCAACGGAAGCTGGATAGACTTGTAAGATATATTCTCATAAGAGCAAAAAAACTGAAGTTTAAATGTTATAACTTCAATCAGAAACCGACGTGTCTTACGCGAGAGTGTGAGGGGTTCCTAAATGGTCATAGGCTCAAATGTATTTTCAGCGCAGACAACTCTAATACAACAGGTATGAACTTAAAGGTAGCATATACCCTTAATGGCATCTAAACTTAACGTGGCCATGAATATATTATTAACGATGTAGACATCACATATAGTGTAAGTCATCAAGTTCAGTCATTTCATTGTCACTGGTATTTTATTTGTTTAGTGTAACTACCGCAGTAAATGATAACAGAATTTCCCGAACGGCAAATACCCACACCTTATATTAGGTAGTAGTATGTACATATGCATGCTCAGGCCTGGGAATCACTAAGTCACTTGGGCTAAGGTAATGGCGTGCCTCCATGTGTGTAATGTATGCGTGCATGTGTGCTGGCTCTAAATATCCAAACGTGTAGCAGGGAATAGCAACTATTTTATAAGATTTTTTTGTTTTTGTTTTGCAATGTTCCCTTAGAAGTAGTCACGGAAGAAACCCCCCGATTATGCAAGGGGGGGGGGGGGGTTACATTAGTCGCCTCAAGTTAACGACGTGCACTTGTATCAGAGGTCATTATTTTGTTCAATGCCTCCGCTAGGAGTCGAACCCGGAACTTCTGGTTCACTAGTCTTACGCTCGCTCGACCGAATGACCTAAAGAGAAATTCTCCCTAGCCTAGTCGGTAGGAAGCGGCTAGTATTTTACCAGGGTGAAACACTGGGACACAGCAGGCCTATCAAAATTCTTTCTTCGAACCTGCAGGGGCGAGACTAGGTCAGACTTGAGCAGTTTTGGTCGAAATCTGAAACCGGTAACATACATTTAATCGGCTTATTTCTTGTACTTTCTCATATATCGTAGTGTGTTTTTTTTTATAATAAAGTTATTGAATTCCAAAATCCCCTAGATCACGAATATTGAAATTTCAATATTAATTTACTGTATATATAGGTTGTTTTCCATTACGTTTGTTTTGTGTTCTTAGTACTACACGGGTTAAAATTATGGTAATACCATCATTCACATATTTGCTACCATAATCTTCAGAAAATGAGAATGACTAACAAAACAATCCCAATGTTTACACAGGAGTTCAAAAAAGAGGCCTACTGAAACCAGAGACGTATATTACATATATAGGTACGTCTCTGCTGAAACCATACCGAGAAGTGTGGGTTTCGTTCTTTTCAGCTGTATCCGGGAATATCATAAACTTTTAAAAAAATCGCGGAAAGTCTGCCTTTAAAGAAAACACATCTACCCACGTCGTGCTCGTGACCAACAAAAATGACGGCACACCTTTTGTCGTGACCGCATTGTAATCTAATTCCGTGTTATAGGTAATTGTATGGTAATGGGTTATGTACAAGTATTGATGTTATAAATAGTACGCGGCCGTTTGAAGGAAATCTGTAGACAGGTAAGTTACCGTCAGGTATATAAGATTAGGTTTAGACATTTTAAGGATATACGTGACCTTGTATGTCGGATTACTAGCCAGGAAGTGACAGTGTAAAGGTTTCACAATAGACTGACGCATATAATGCGTGATTTTTTTACAACTGTAAATTCGCGGGTCATTGCACACGTACTTTTCGGAACACTTCGAGACTTTTCTGATAGCTGTTATGTACAAAAGTAAACTTTAGTATTCCGAAAGGTTTGTTTATTATTAGAAATTCACGGGTACCCATTCGTAATTTTCAATCCAATCTGCGAAAACCGTGCGTTTTCATTCGTGAAAGTGGGTGCAAATGATCTAGGTAAGTATTGGAACAGTTTAACAGTCGACGAACACTGTTATACGTGTGATTTGATTACTTCCATTACTTTGAAACGGGTTGAAATGTGTATAAACATCTTTACTACCGGGTACAGTAGTTAGTCTCAGCACCGACTTGCCTCAGTATCTCGCTGCTGCGCCACAAAGTATGAAATTTTGTAAAACCTGCTTAAGCTCGAATCATTTAACAAGATTGTACCTGTGGAGTTTACTCGTAAAGAATTGTTACCAGCTCATAAGGTGATCAGGTTGGGAATCTTTTCCTACTGGGGGGATACGTTAGAGTACACCTTTCAATAGAGAAGATATACATGTTCCCAAACTTTTTCCTCCATTTCACATGTGAATTCCACATTATAGAGTTGAACCAAGGTTGTCCATGGCTTCGGCTATAGCCAGCAATTTCAATAGCTGTTCGCCTGAGGGTGTTGCCTAAACACAACTGATATCACGTGCACTTCCCTAAACAATAGGGGATTAATCCCTCTATTGTCAATGTTAGCAAAGTGTGTGGAGTCCAGTCAAATTCAGTGATCACCTGGTCTTTGTTTAAACTTGACCCTAACTGTGCACTACCTGTAGTATGACCCCTTCTGTTGGAAGGAAGCTCGGATTAGGATATACCATTTTTGGGAATTAGGTAAAATAATTATATACAGGCATTTATATATTCATTTTAACCTGTATTTTCACATGTGGCTTCAAGTGTAAATGATCATTAATATAATTAATGTGATTATAATATGTTGTTTTCCAGTTTCATAGAATTTGCTAAAGTATACTATTTACCTTTAAGGTACAATGTACAGCACACCTGATATTTATTTATTGTTTAGTTTATCCCAAAAGAGGAGAAATATAAACAAAATATTCAAAATGCAGAAGGCACTGTGATGAATGTATCATTTTGCATCACTTAATTAACATGGTAATGACATGTCTCTAGATTCTCCTGCATCAATGATATTGTTTGGGATGATTCTAAGCTGGTGTAGCTGCTGGAACCGTACCTTGTAGACCTGACCGTTTTTTTTTTTTTCTATATGGTCCGAAAAAAAAAAAAAAAAAAAAAAAAATCGGGCCAGGAAGGTACGGTTCCAGCAGCTAGGGCTGATATGTCACCAACGCATTCAGTATAGTGAATATCAGTCACCAACGCATTCATTATAGTGAATATCAGTCACCAATGTATTCAGTATAGTGAATATCAGTCACCAATGTATTCAGTATAGTAAATATCAGTCACCAACGCATTCAGTATAGTAAATATCAGTCACCAATGTATTCAGTATAGTAAATATCAGTCACCAATGTATTCATTATAGTGAATATCAGTCACCAATGTATTCAGTATAGTAAATATCAGTCACCAATGTATTCAGTATAGTGACTATCAGTCACCAATGTATTCAGTATAGTGAATATCAGTCACCAATGCATTCAGTAAAAAGAATATCAATCAAAATATAGTGATGATCATGATCACTATGGTGATTGTTTTGGTAGTGGAATGTGGGGTAAAATATGAAATGTGAGGTTGTTATCGAAAATTGTGATTTGGAGGCACGGTAGTCTAGGGGTACGATGCCGTGACAGAAGGGTTGCGAGTTTGAGTCACGGCAACGGCTGTCTAAGCTCCCAAAAGAGAGTTGAGAAAGATATTGGCTGGTTGCAAAGGCCTTATAACCACGGATAATAATTTGTGAACCACTTTGAGACGACATACGAACTAGGTTGTGATAAAGCTGTATATAAGAACCTATTATTATTTATTATTTGAAATTGCTATTTTGGGCGGATTGGTCAAGTGGTTAACACTCCTGCCTTCCAAGCAGGCGGCCTGGGTGCGATCCCCAAAGTCGTCATAAGCATGTGATATTCAGAGAAAGTGTTTTTCTCCTGCCCACACAACTCCAACAACCCAGGTGGAGTATAAAATGGTCTGGGGTGGATGTTGTAGTATCTGTGCTGTAGCATTCAAGTGAGGTGGCACTGTAAATGATATCGTTGGAAGCACAGTCCCACTACCAACAGAACATACACACATTGGGAGATATTAGCCAGGTGGCATAGGACTAGTAGTTAGCGCCTGATAAGGCAGCTCCTGCGAATTCCTCAAAACTTTTAATGATCAATGTATATATGCTAATTGTATGGATTGTATAAATTGTATATCTATGTACTGTGAAGCGCTTTAGAGTGGCTTATTCTAGCTAAATAGGGCGCCATACATGTATCAAATGCTGTATATTATTATAACTATTATTATTTTTGAATTAGAGTGTAGAGCACATCGTCTACTTGGAGCTCCAATCAAATTGATGCAACAGTCAATCAAACACGATTGCCAACTTTACATCTTGAATTAGTTTAGTTTTCATTCAGCGAAAGTGAATACTAAAAAAAAAAAACTATTTTTTTCTGTTGCAGGACAATTTTAATTGATTAAATCCCTACTTGATGGTTTAATAGATATTTAACATATTTTCAATGACAACATTTTTATATCCACAGGCATTGTGTTAGGTAAATTTCAATAACAATGTCGGAGCTTAGTGAAGCAATGCTCAGCAAGCTGTCAACCCCGGAACGACAGAAGCTCAACCACCAGTTGCGACAGGCACAAGTCAAGAAATATCTCACCTTCATCAAATCAGAGAGAGAGAACAATAAAGGGAGTATCAAACGACAAAGAAAACCAAACAAGAAAAAGACCTGTGTCAAGTTCGGAGACAATCTCCTGCTGCAGGATGCTGTTCAAAACTTTGATGACAGGGAAGGTAATAATCTGTTAGAAATGATACAAGATGTTCAGGGTTCTCCCCAATTTTTTTTAAGCTGATATGTTTCATTTTCAACAAACGTTCAAGACGGACACGCTCAATAATACCCATTAAATTTANGGGGGGGGGGGGGGGGGGGGGGGAGTTTTAATATTATGTTTAAATAGGTACTTTTATTTACCAAACGTTTGATGAATTTTAAAGCCAAAGAAAGAAATAATTGTTCCTTTTGTATGAATTTTCAGCAATATCATGATCATTGTTTTATGTATTCTAAAAAAAATACAAGATGTTTTAGATTTGTGCATTGAATAATAGATATGACATTTGTTTCTTATCTTTATATTTGTATCCCTTAGTTTACTCTCCATTTAATATAACTTAAAGAAGAAATATTTAAAAGCTATTAATGCTACATAGGGGGAAACACTTATATGAAAAGAATGTATATCACAGTTCCAATTATGGTAATATATTGCTGCAATATTAAATGTAGCACTTCAACGGTATTCTAGACATTTATTTGCTACAAATGGGGTCCAAAAAGTGTGACTGTGAGCGAGAATGTTTCTAACCATAACTATTGATAAAAATAAAATAAAAATAAATGTTAATTTTATTTCACAATTTTACGACATTTAATACATAAAAACAAAACAATTTTATGTTAAAGTATTTTTCCTAAAATAGAGAGAAAAACAGATTTGATATATTTTATGTTAAAACTACAAATCTGCAACTAGCATGGCCCTGTTCGTCTAAACTGGCCTACAATAAGTTTGGCTGACAATAGCTGTAGTGTAGAATGCTGCCAGAAAACTGAAATCTGCCTTGTTCTGTTTATTACATATTATTGTGTCAGTAAATAGGTCAAAAGATGGCACAACTTTGAAAGCGCTCTGTCATACCTAGCTGTATAAACTGTTGATAAAGAAGTTACAAGATGCATTTACTGTTGACAAGACTATACATGTATACCAGGAAATGTTTGCTGCAGTTATATTTTCGCTCTTTTTGCCCTACATAATGATTTATCATTATTGTGGACAATGATAAACAACATAGATAGTAATTAAATGTGTGAAGACAGTATGAAAATGGGTTTTACCGGCGAAGGGCGAAATCAAGACAGTATGAAAATGGGTTTTACCGGCGAAGGGCGAAATCAAGACAGTATGAAAATGGGTTTTACCGGCGAAGGGCGAAATCAAGACAGTATGAAAATGGGTTTTACCGGCGAAGGGCGAAATCAAGACAGTATGAAAATGGGTTTTACCGGCGAAGGGCGAAATCAAGACAGTATGAAAATGGGTTTTACCGGCGAAGGGCGAAATCAAGACAGTATGAAAATGGGTTTTACCGGCGAAGGGCGAAATCAAGACAGTATGAAAATGGGTTTTACCGGCGAAGGGCGAAATCAAGACAGTATGAAAATGGGTTTTACCGGCGAAGGGCGAAATCAAGACAGTATGAAAATGGGTTTTACCGGCGAAGGGCGAAATCAAGACAGTATGAAAATGGGTTTTACCGGCGAAGGGCGAAATCAAGACAGTATGAAAATGGGTTTTACCGGCGAAGGGCGAAATCAAGACAGTATGAAAATGGGTTTTACCGGCGAAGGGCGAAATCAAGACAGTATGAAAATGGGTTTTACCGGCGAAGGGCGAAATCAAGACAGTATGAAAATGGGTTTTACCGGCGAAGGGCGAAATCAAGACAGTATGAAAATGGGTTTTACCGGCGAAGGGCGAAATCAAGACAGTATGAAAATGGGTTTTACCGGCGAAGGGCGAAATCAAGACAGTATGAAAATGGGTTTTACCGGCGAAGGGCGAAATCAAGACAGTATGAAAATGGGTTTTACCGGCGAAGGGCGAAATCAAGACAGTATGAAAATGGGTTTTACCGGCGAAGGGCGAAATCAAGACAGTATGAAAATGGGTTTTACCGGCGAAGGGCGAAATCAAGACAGTATGAAAATGGGTTTTACCGGCGAAGGGCGAAATCAAGACAGTATGAAAATGGGTTTTACCGGCGAAGGGCGAAATCAAGACAGTATGAAAATGGGTTTTACCGGCGAAGGGCGAAATCAAGACAGTATGAAAATGGGTTTTACCGGCGAAGGGCGAAATCAAGACAGTATGAAAATGGGTTTTACCGGCGAAGGGCGAAATCAAGACAGTATGAAAATGGGTTTTACCGGCGAAGGGCGAAATCAAGACAGTATGAAAATGGGTTTTACCGGCGAAGGGCGAAATCAAGACAGTATGAAAATGGGTTTTACCGGCGAAGGGCGAAATCAAGACAGTATGAAAATGGGTTTTACCGGCGAAGGGCGAAATCAAGACAGTATGAAAATGGGTTTTACCGGCGAAGGGCGAAATCAAGACAGTATGAAAATGGGTTTTACCGGCGAAGGGCGAAATCAAGACAGTATGAAAATGGGTTTTACCGGCGAAGGGCGAAATCAAGACAGTATGAAAATGGGTTTTACCGGCGAAGGGCGAAATCAAGACAGTATGAAAATGGGTTTTACCGGCGAAGGGCGAAATCAAGACAGTATGAAAATGGGTTTTACCGGTGAAGGGCGAAATCAAGATAGTATGAAAATGTGTTTTACCGATGAAGGGCGAAATCAAGACAGTATGAAAATGGGTTTTACCGGCGAAGGGCGAAATCAAGACAGTATGAAAATAGGTTTTACCAGCGAAGGGCAAAATCAAGACAGTATGAAAATGGGTTTTACCGGCGAAGGGGGAAATCAAGACATTATGAAAATGGGTTTTACCGGCGAAGGGCGAAATAAAGACAGTATGAAAATGGGTTTTACCGATGAAGGGGGAAATCAAGACAGTATGAAAATGGGTTTTACCGATGAAGGGGGAAATCAAGACAGTATGAAAATGGGTTTTACCGATGAAGGGGGAAATCAAGACAGTATGAAAATGGGTTTTACCGATGAAGGGGGAAATCAAGACAGTATGAAAATGGGTTTTACCGATGAAGGGGGAAATCAAGACAGTATGAAAATGGGTTTTACCGATGAAGGGGGAAATCAAGACAGTATGAAAATGGGTTTTACCGATGAAGGGCGAACATTTCCTGATATACATGTAGCATCAATCCAACAGATAAGAGATACGAAGAGAAAAGATCAAACTTACATAGAAATAATGAAGATCTTGTGATGGTGGGCACCAATTCAATATCCCTCTGGGACCTCTTGTTTATTTCAGTTCTAAGACTCATTAATAAGGGGAGTGATGTGAATTACAGTACTGGAAACAACACTTCACTACTACATAAGGTAACGGAAAAACAAAGGTGTTAAATTGTTAACTCAATCGTTATACCTGATATAGGTATATTTTAAAAATATGAAAAAATGGTTAATTTAGTAGTTATTTTCATGTTTAGCATATGTTCTACTTGAATATTTTATAGGCAGTATATGAGATATGGAATATTGTAACATCAAACATCAAAACAAGTCCTTAGATTTAATGTCATCACAACCCTGGCATCCCTCCAAAAGCTGCTGGGGAAAGAAAATCTAATTTTAAGTTTTTAAAAATGTTTGAAAACTTATTTTGCGAGCTTTCGAAAACATTTGTTTCCTTTGTCAAGCAAAGAGTATCAAATCATAAGATTTATTTATCAGTCTGTAAGTGTTTGAGCTCTAGTATATGGTAGATTTATGAATTAACACAAGTATCATGCCCAAATGTTGTGTTGCAGAGTGTCAGTGAGGACAACTTGACGACAGCAGAGTTACTTTTGGCACACGGTGCCGACGCAAACGCCCTGGATGATGATGGATGGTCTCCCCTTCATCAGGCATGCTCGTGTGAACTCCCAGAGATGGCACAACTAATCCTCAACGTTAGTCTTATATGGTGGTCAGTTAGGGCCAAATTACAAATGTCGCGATCTCAGATTTCAGAAGAAATGCCAACAAATGTTATTCCATTTTTCCAGTAATAATCCTACCCTCTATTTTGTGTGAGATATGTGTTGGCGGCCCTGTACTTATTGCCCAATACATTTAGTCCGTTGTAGGTTTATTAAAATCTTGTGAGGGACTGAACACAGTATTTTGATATCAGACTAAATTACCAGATGTTGGTTAAAATAAAAGACACGATTTTCTTAGATCGATCTTAATTTGAGCATGATGTAAAGACTTGCAAGAGCTATTTTCATATTGATCAGGCTTGAATGATAATTAAATGAACTATTAAAATAACATTTCTGCATATAGTTAGCTTTTAAGAAATAATCATTGCAGTTTATAATGATGATGGCTTCATTTTAGTGAATGCTCTTAGTTATTATAAGAGTCCCGCATGGAAGATGCGATGCACTGTAGCAATCAGGTTGTCTGTCCCTCAGTCTGTCTGTCCCTCCGTCTGTCCCTCCGTCTGTCCGTCTTTTGCTTTGATGAAGGTTGGAAGATTTTTGGAGTATAACTGGTTACTAAAATTCGTCTAGTTTGACAACTCTAAACTTTAAGAGATATATATACGTAGTATAAATTGATAATGTACTGCTGGGAAATTAACAAATATTTGTGATTCTGATATATAATCATTCAGCAAGAGCCTTCACCAGAGACTCTAGGCGTTGTGGTTCTTCAGAAGAAGTCATTAGAAGTTTCTGACATATTTGACCCATGACCTTGAATATAGGACAAGGTCAACTGTTATATGTAGCTGTTTACACTACTTTTTGTTGTTATTGAAATAAAACCTATATTTTTCTTATTAGAATGGAGCTGACCCTACAGCATTAGATGTGGACGGGTTTTTCCCTTCGGACCTGGCACCCGACGGGTCAGAGACCCAGCAGGTTGTACTTAAACATATGGAGAAAATAGGTACCTACTTGTTTGTTGTATAAATTCAGTGTACTGTTGATTAAAAAGAAGGTATAATTATAACCATATGACTTAAAATGTGAAATGATATAAAAAAAAATGTTCAGCAATTAAAACTTCGTGCTAGACAATTAAGAATCTTACCTATTGGGTTGAGATTTGTCTATGTTACCCCCAAGTTAGGGAAACAATATATTAGTCTTTTTAAATTGATTATAAGGAATGACCCTTTCTGAATTTTCTTGATTTTAGTTGTTACTTTTAACTTTGTCACATATTTTGAAACATGTATTGGGGAGGGGGGGGGGGGGGGGGGGGGGGGGGGGGGGGCACTACTATTGTGGAAAGTTGATATATGATTAAAAAAAAATGTATTATTGCAGAAAGTTGACATATTTTGAAAAATGTATTTTTGGGGCTATTATTGTGGACGGGGCACTAAATATTATGACTAGCATATGATTGTGGACGGGGCACTAAATATTATGACTAGCGTATGATTGTGGACGGGGCACGGAATATTATGACTAGCGTATGATTGTGTTGGGACAGGAATATTATGACTAGCGTATGATTGTGTTGGGACAGGAATATTATGACTAGCGTATGATTGTGTTGGGACAGGAATATTATGACTAGCGTATGATTGTGTTGGGACAGGAATATTATGACTAGCGTATGATTGTGTTGGGACAGGAATATTATGACTAGCGTATGATTGTGTTGGGACAGGAATATTATGACTAGCGTATGATTGTGTTGGGACAGGAATATTATGACTAGCGTATGATTGTGTTGGGACAGGAATATTATGACTAGCGTATGATTGTGTTGGGACAGGAATATTATGACTAGCGTATGATTGTGTTGGGACAGGAATATTATGACTAGCGTATGATTGTGTTGGGACAGGAATATTATGACTAGCGTATGATTGTGTTGGGACAGGAATATTATGACTAGCGTATGATTGTGTTGGGACAGGAATATTATGACTAGCGTATGATTGTGTTGGGACAGGAATATTATGACTAGCGTATGATTGTGTTGGGACAGGAATATTATGACTAGCGTATGATTGTGTTGGGACAGGAATATTATGACTAGCGTATGATTGTGTTGGGACAGGAATATTATGACTAGCGTATGATTGTGTTGGGACAGGAATATTATGACTAGCGTATGATTGTGTTGGGACAGGAATATTATGACTAGCGTATGATTGTGTTGGGACAGGAATATTATGACTAGCGTATGATTGTGTTGGGACAGGAATATTATGACTAGCGTATGATTGTGTTGGGACAGGAATATTATGACTAGCGTATGATTGTGTTGGGACAGGAATATTATGACTAGCGTATGATTGTGTTGGGACAGGAATATTATGACTAGCGTATGATTGTGTTGGGACAGGAATATTATGACTAGCGTATGATTGTGTTGGGACAGGAATATTATGACTAGCGTATGATTGTGTTGGGACAGGAATATTATGACTAGCGTATGATTGTGTTGGGACAGGAATCACCGCTGACCAGAAGAAAGAGCTACAACTGAATACACCCAGACAGATGTTTTCTGATGTCCAGCTTCTACTGACCACGGGCAGTGTCCTCAACGCACCATCAGACCTCGGAATCACCCTGGTCAGTCAAGCTAACTTCAGACACATGTTCCTGTAAAATGAAACTGAAGTTTTCTGACATCTCGTCTTATTCAACATAATGATCCAATTTCTGATTAAAACTACCTTATATTTCCCCCCAAGTCAAACTTTTGCTCTTCGCCTGTGAAATCCACTATCGGCCAATGTTTATTTCACCTGTTATAATTATTTACTATGTAAATTATGTTGTAGACAGCTGTTCATTGTTATTATATATTGACCCTCATTCCAGAAGGCGAAAATTGCAAAAATTAAACTGCAGCGAAAAATTCCCAGGTAAGACCTGTGTATACAGACATACTGTCTAATATGACAAAGATTCTGACTTACAGCTACACATTGCCTGCGCTAATGGATTCAAGAAGGTTGTCCGTCTGTTGTTGAAGAAGTACGTTAATGTTGACGCACAAGAAAATATGGGCTGGACTTCACTTCACGTTGCTGCTCGGTATAACCAGGTGAGAACGGCTATAAGAATCGTAACTTTGAGTCTTTATAACATTGATATAAGACACATATGTATAAGGGTTGTTAAAAGTTAGCCGTTTGTTCATGGTCAATTGGTGTACACCTCGAACCAGTTGCAAAAACCAATAACAGTTGAACATTTTATTACCTACCCTATGAGGTGCATGTATATCCCGATTTAGGGTATATATCACAACCTAATTATGATACACTCTGAAATGTATTTGCTACATGTACAGTTGTATAACAAGCTAAGCATCCTCGATACTCCAGGGGTTACACTAACTTACACTCTCTACACCATTGGAATCATCCTCGATACTCCAGGGATTACCCTACCTTACACTCTCTACACCACTGGAACCATCCTCGATACTCCAGGGGTTACACTCACTTACACTCTCTACACCACTGGAATCATCCTTGATACTCCAGGGGTAACACTCACTTACACTCTCTACACCACTGGAATCATCCTCGATACTCCAGGGGTTACACTCACTTACGCTCTACACCTCTGTAATATATTTCATAGCAAATTTGAAGGCATGTGGCTAGCTATTTGTTTGGTCTCAGGAAAAAACCCTGATCAATCGCAAGGCTGATACCTGTCCTTTGAAACTTACAGAGGAGCAACACCGGTCAAATTTACTGGCATGCTGCCGACAGATTCCTTTGGTGTACATCAAAGGATCAAACAAGTCTTCTGTCTCATCCACAAGATGGTGCACACTGAGCCTTCAATTTTGTTATGACATAGTCCAGGGGTACAGAGAGCGAATGTGAGCGTAAATGCTAGAGTATGGAGGATGTATGAATAATGTGTCCAGTGAGGTTGTACTGTACATGTTTTGCTCTATTTACAGATGGACATATTAAAACTACTGTTGAAGGCTGGAGCCGATCCTAACTTAGTCGACGTTGAAGGCAATAAGGCTTCGGCGGTCACAAACTCAACTGATATACAAGCTCTTCTGATGAAAGCTGAGAGAAAGAGCGGGGCAAAATTACGAGACTCTGAGATCGGTCCATTAGAAGGAGATGATGGCATATATGATCAAAAAGATGGACCTGGAAAGGATGAAACGGGTGTTGGTGGCCTTGTCAGAATTAACAGTAAAACAGTGTAGGTTATTGATATAATATGCTGTAAAAGTACATATTTTAGCGGTAATTTTGTTGTTGCATTTTTGTCTCGTTGCCACGAAGTAGCAGAAGCGACACTAAGGTGTTGCTTTTCCGTCAACGGCAGTGGCGTCAACATCAAGTTTTTGCGTTTTACTTAGTTTCACTGAATGTATAAGTGCTAGACCAACCAAACTTGCACCATAGATACATATTAGGTAGTACATCTCAACCCATGTATCAAATGCAGGATGCAGCCTACCTTTCATGTTCCATTGACTTTGTCAGCATCTCCATCAACATTAAGTTTTTGCGTTTAAATTAGTTTCATTTCAAATGTTGTCTACATTAAAAAAAAATCACCGATATGTGCAGTGATGGTCAAAGGGGGGCATAGGCGAGACAGATCAGTCCAAATGGCTTGTTCGTGATTTAAATCTTGCACTTAATTATGATTGCTTTAATTGGAGTGTCTGTATACTATTTTCTTTTGCATATATACAGATGTATTGTCATCTGGTTGCACTAATTAACTAGCGATATTAATTGCAAGGGTTGTGATAAAACGATACATGGGTCAAAATACATGGGTCACGATACGATACGTATCGCGATACTTGTCACAACTTTTTGTACAAACCTGTTACCATAGTTTTCCTTGATTTCAAACAAACCTGATATGAAATCCAAAGGTGTTTGTATTCCATGCTGAATTATTTGTATTTTAAGTGATCCATCAATCTCATTAATTGTATAACATTTTATTTTTGAAACTTTCTTTCTGCTCGTTGATAGATAAAGCAGTAATGCATACTGTTACCAATTTTGCACGATTGGTTAATAACCACTCTTAAAGGGCAGTAACCCCTACATAACTTTTTAAAAATATCCCGATACTATCAGCGAATGCCACAATGCATCGGCATTTAAAAATATCACAATACTATCAGCGAATGCCACGATGCATCGGCATTTAAAAATATCACAATACTATCAGCGAATGCCACAATGCATCGGCATTTAGAAATATCACAATGCTATCAGCGAATGCCACGATTCATCGGCATTTAAAAATATCATGATACTATCAGCGAATGCCACGATGCATCGGCATTTACTAATATCACGATACTATCAGCGAATGCCACAATGCATCAGCATTTAAAAATATGACGATACTATCAGCGAATGCAACAATGCATCGGCATTTAAAAATATGACGATACTATCAGCGAATGCCACGATGCATCGGCATTTAAAAATATCACAATACTAGCAGCGAATGCCACGATGCATCAGCATTTACAAATATCACAATGCTATCAGCGAATGCCACGATGCATCAGCATTTACAAATATCACAATATGACGATACTATCAGCGAATGCCACGATGCATCGGCATTTAAAAATATCACAATACTATCAGCGAATGCCACAATGCATCGGCATTTAAAAATATCATGATACTATCAGCGAATGCCACAATGCATCTGCATTTTAAAATATCACGATACTATCAGCGATTGCCACAATGCATCGGCATTTAAAAATATCATGATACTATCAGCGAATGCCACAATGCATCTGCATTTAAAAATATCACGATACTATCAGCGATTGCCACAATGCATCGGCATTCAAGATATGAAACATTTCATTCATGCATCGATGAATCGTTATACACCTCTACAAATTACCAATGCTGAACTCTTAAAATCTGATGATGCTCTTTAATTTGAGTGCACTTGCTAAATTTTGTATGATTATAGGATATACTAACCTTACATATTTTCATGAATATCGATCTTTAAAAACATGTTGCATTAGAATAAAAAAAGTCATTAAATGAAGTATCATATATCAGTAGTTTTCTCCAGATTTTGGATATGTGTATCATGCTTTAACTTTGTTAAACCTATCACAATGGCACTAATACCATCACTGTCTGCCATCAACCAGAAATGATGATGACAAGTACGGGTGGTCGCGGGGTGGTCGGGGAGTGGTCGCGGGGTGGTCGGGGGGTGGTCGCG